CCTCGGAGGAACTGAAGCCAGACAGTTCCGCTTCTCCCATTTGAGTCTGGGTCCCTAGAGACTCGCCCAGATCTGGAGCTCAGAGTCTGAGGCTCCCTCCGGATTGAAACAGACAACCGAGCCCTCAGCCACCAGCCCACGCCGCACGCACTCCGCAACTTAGTATTTTACTTCAGCACTGCACCTCCTCTGATTCTCGGTTCCTCCTAGTTGTAGAACTTCCACTCAGCCAGCCTTCCTGTGGTTCTGGATGATGTCTGTTCCGTCTTTTAGTTGTATTTTTGAAGTGGTTGTTTGAGGCAGCAAACTCCGGCGATAACCTATGCCGCCATCTTGGTTTTCCTCAAATAGGTTTTTAATCCCTTGCTTTCTTTCTGCTCCTTGTGGTGCCCCCGATAATGCAGACATGGTATATTGATGTTGTCCCAGAGGCCCCTTATGGCATTATCATTTTTTAAAGTTTTCTTTTAGCCCTGGCTCGTTCACTGAGTGCTTAGAGCATCGGCCCATGAACAGAAGGGTCACAGGGTCAATTCTGGTCAAAGGTTCAATACCTGGTCCTGGTTGGGTAGTGTGTGGGACGCAACCAATCCATGTGTCTCTCTCACATCAATATTTCTCTCCTTCTGTCTCTTCCAATCCCTTCACACTCCCTCTAAAAATTACTCGATAAGATATCCTCGGATGAAGATTAACAACAAGAATTCTCTCTCTCTCTCTCTCTCTTTCTCTCTCATCTCTCTCTCTCTCTCTCTCTCTCTCTCTCTCTCTCTCTCTCTCTCTCTCACTGCTCTGATTGGCTATTCTGTGCTACCTTATCTTCCAAATTGCAAATTCAATACTTCGCTTCATTTAGTCTATAGTTGGTTCCTTCTAGTGTATTCTGTATTTTTCACTGGTTCTTTTTTATACTTTCTGTGTCCTATTACTATCTTTTCTTTTTTTCATTGAGTTCATCCATTCTTCCCCTGCGTTTATTGAGCATCCTTTTAACCATTGTTTTGAACTCTGTATTTTTTTTTATTGCTTAAATTATTTCAAGGAGTATTACATATTTCTCCTTTTTTTCCCCCCGCCCTTGACAATCCCCTGGCCTCCCCTACCCCCCAGTGTCTTATGTCCATTGGTTATGCTTATATGCATGCATACAAGTCCTTTGGTTGATCTCTTACCACCCCCCCGCCCCCCCACCCTCCCTGGCCTTCCTGCTGTAGTTTGACAGTCTGTTCGAGGCAACTCTGCCTCTGTATCTATTATTGTTCAAAAGTTTATAATGGTCTCTATTATCCATGAATGAGTGAGATCATGTGGTATTTTTCCTTCATTGACTGGCTTATTTCACTTAGCATAATGCTCTCCAGTTCCATCCATACTGTTGCAAATGGTAAGAGTTCCTTCTTTTTTACAGCAGCATAGTATTCCATCGTGTAGATGTACCACAGTTTTCTAATCCATTCATCTACTGATGGGCACTTAGGCTGTTTGCAAATCTTAGCTATGGTGAATTGTGCTGCTATGAACATAGGGGTGCATATATCCTTTCCGATTGGTGTTTCTGGTTTCTTGGGATATATTCCTAGAAGTGGGATCACAGGGTCAAATGGGAGTTCCATTTCTAGTTTTCTGAGGAAACTCCATACTGTCTTCCATAGTGGCTGCACCAGTCTGCATTCCCACCAGCAGTGCACGAGTGTTCCTTTTTCTCCACATCCTCTCCAGCACTTGTTGTTTGTTGATTTGTTGATGATAGCCATTCTGACAGGTGTGAGATGGTACCTCATTGTTGTTTTGATTTGCATCTCTCGGATGATTAGCGACTTCGAGCATGTTTTCATATGTCTCTTGGCTTTCTGAATGTTCTCTTTTAAAAGGTGTCTATTTAGGTCCTTTGCCCATTTTTTTATTGGATTGTTTATCTTCCTTTTGTTAAGTTGTATGAGTTCCCTATAAATGTTGGAGATTAGGACCTTATCAGATATAATGTTGCCAAATATGTTCTCCCATGTAGTGGGCTTTCTTGTTGTTTTGTTGATGGTTTCTTTTGCTGTGCAGAAAATTTTTATTTTGATGTAGTCCCATTTGTTTATTTTCTCTTTAGTTTCCAAGTGCCCTAGGATCTGTATCGGTGAAGAAATTGCTTCGGCATATGTCTGAGATTTTGTTGCCTTTGGATTCCTCTAGTATTTTTATGGTTTCCCGTCGTATATTTAAGTCCTTTATCCATTTTGAGTTTATTTTTGTGTATGGTGTAAGTTGGTGGTCTTTGAACTCTGTATTTAGTAGATTGCTTGCATTCATTGTTTTTAGTTCTTTTTCTGGGGATTCTCTGTTATTTTATTTGGGGCATGTTTCCTTGTATTCTCATGTTGGCTACCTCTCTGTATTTGTTTTATTATATTAGGTAGATGTGCTATGTCTCCCAATCTTGGTACTTATTTCGTAGGTGTCCTGTGGGGCTTGGTAGTGCTGTCTCCCTGATCACTAGAGCAAGGTGTTCTGGGAGTGTGTTATGTGATCCTTCCTGTTGTAGTTGAGTCTTTTTTTAAAAGATATTTTAATCATTTTTAGAGAGAGAAGAAGGGAGAAAGAGAGAGAAACATCAGTATGAGAGCAACATTGATCAGCTGCCTCCTGCACGCTCCCTTAATAGGGATTGAGCCCACAATCTGGGCATGTGCCCTGACCAAGAATTGAACTGGTAATCTTTCAGTGCACAGGAAGACACCCAACCTACTGAAGCCCACAAGCCAGGGCTGTAGTTCAGCCTTATTGCTGTTGGTGCATCCATGGGTGGGGTTAACCTTCAGGCTGGCTGACTGTGAAGATTGACCCTGACCTCACTGTATGAGCTGCTGGGCAGGGACTAACCCCATGAAGTAGAATTCACCCCAGCAGGGTCTGGTATCTGCTAAAATCTCCCGATCGATGTGCCACTTGTGGGGCTAATTGGGTTGTGCTTTAATGTGGTCTGAAGCCTGCCACCAGGTTCTGAGGCCTCTTGGGAGGGACTCTGGTACTGGTGAATATCAGACGCTGCCTGTGACTGGCCCTGGGCTACCTGTTAGGATCTACAAACGATCCACATTTTGTGGCAGCCTCTGTAGGAAAAGGGTGCATATGGGAGGAGCCAAAGTGCATGCCATGTCTGGCCTCCACCAGCACCAAACCCATGGGAGGGGTCAGCAAAAGTCCCAAGACACTCCAAGATATGCCTGTGCCTGCTGGCTTCCTGTTAGGCCCAATCACTGGAATTGCCTCTGGCAATATGCAAATTGAAGTAGGTTCTCATGTTGGGGCCAGTGGTATTCACCAGGTTGATACATATACAAACTTCAAGCCAGTACTGCTTCTGAGGCCACTCAGCAAATGTGTCATGGTACACCAAAGCCAGCTGTCAGCTGCCACCTGCATTGGGCCTACAGACATTTGTGATGAGGTATGTTCTGAGGGAATCACCAGGGTGAGGCCAGCAGAGTTTATAGGGCTAAAACAGACCAATATTTGGTCATGTGGATAGAGAGCTTTGCACAGCAATGGTGGCTCCAGTCAGCATGTGAGGGGGAAAATGACCCTCACCCTAAAGCCACAGAACTCAGTCTCTGACATCCCGTTTGTCTGCCTACACATCCTAAAGATCCCTCCAAGAAAGTCTGCACTGCCAGCTCAGGCTGGCTGGTGGGAGCTTGGCAGGGCAGGGATACAGGTATTTGGGAGGGAGTAATAATGCATTCCACCAGGCTGATGCCCTGTGGAGGGGAATGGTCAACCCAAAAAATATGACATTTGTGGACTGTGGTGGGAGAGGGATTCAACACAAGGACCTGGGTGGCTGTCCCTTTAGCTCTCTCCCTGAAGCCACACAACCCACTCTCTCCTTGTATGACTCCAGTCTGCTGTGAGCTACCTTCCCTCCGCTGGAGCCCATGGTGAGTGGCTGGAAATGACATTTTCTGCACTGACTTTTTAAGAGGGCTCCTGGGTTTCTGGCAGACTCCCTTCTCTCCCTAGTAGATGGAATCTCTGATGACTTTCACAGCCAGGAATTAGGTGGGTTTCTCTTCCTTTTGTGGTGCTCCAGGCTGGGGAGGCCTGTGTTGGGTAGAGCCCATTGCTCCTGACAGTGGACTTTGTAGGTGAAATATCTCTCCAGATTCTCTACTGCTGCACATGTGGGGCCACCTCATTTTGAGCCTCAGTCCATCCTACCAGTCTCCATGTGGCTTCTTCTGTAAATCCTTGGTTATAAGACTTCTGTTCAGCTGGATTCAATTGGTAACTTAGGTTGATTGTTCTAAAATTTAGTTGTACTTCTGGTTTGATCCTGGGAGGAGGTGAGTGTAACTTCCACCTACTCCACCACTATATTGGATCCTGTTTTTTGGTGTGTTTTTTTAATTAAAATACTAACATTGAATCATCTCTCTGTTTAGCCATTATGTGCTTTGTGCAAAATGTAATTCAACTTGTTAAAATATCTGTTTTCTGTATGCTACAAATTCAGGAACTGTCTTGTCCCATCATGTCTGCTATTTAGTACAGTGCTAGCTCATTATAGGTGCTCAAAAAATATTTGTACAGTTAATATATACTATACTCTTGAAAGTGTATAAAGTTTAGCTGTTTGTGATCCTTGCTAATTAACACAAGCTAATATAGATTTAAACAATTACAGCATAATAGGACAATTAATTTTTTTTAAATTTGGCATTCTTGAGCTAAATCCCCAGAAGGAATAAAGTGATAGGTTGGAGATATGATCCACGACAGAACTGAAATTATAATCTTAGTTTCCCTGGCACAGAGCCATAACTCTAGGAGGCTTATTAGCTCTAGGGGGCTAAAGAGATTTACTCAGCTCCACAAATTATGTTGCCTTTTTTAGTATGTAAATGCAGTGTCCTTTGGACATGAAAAATGAAATGTGTGTGTATGAAAGCCAAGCGAGGCAGGGTCAGAGGGAAACCATAGCCTCCTCATCTCCATTTTGCTCTTCATGGCAGGAGAGGGACCAGGTGAGGATCATAGCCATCTCTTCCCTTGGGCACATGCTACATAGAGTCAACAAATTCAAGCCTGGATATGCCATCAAGAAACATCTGTACAGTTTTTTAGTCCCGCTGCTGCTTAGCTTAGAGGACAACAACACCGAGGTGGTCAAGGTATGGGTGATCTTTGTCCTGCCAAACTCAGCCTGATACAACCCCTTCCTGCTAGAGCACAGCCCCTTCCCTTTAGTCCTCTTTCATGAGCCTGGTCTGGGATCTGCATTCACTCTACACCAGTGGTTCTCAACCTTCTGGCCGTTTAAATATAGTTCCTCATGTTGTGAGCCAACCATAAAATTATTTTCATTGCTGCTACATAACTGTAATGTTGCTACTGTTATGAATCGTAATGTAAATATCTGATATGCAGGATGTTCTCAGGCGACCCCTGTGAAATGGTTGTTCGACAGCCAAAGGGGTCGTGGCCCACAGGTTGAGAACCACTGCTCTACACCTCTTTCGTATCATTTTCTGGGCTGAATCTGAGCACTTTTACCCTCTACTGGGTGCCATCAGTCTTAGACTGATATGGTACTCCTCCCTGAAGTTATGTACATATTTTCACATGATCAAGGCCCCTGATCCCAGTTACTAATCCCAACCAAACCCCTTGTGGACTAGTTTCATGGTCTGGCCTGGCTCTCCAGAATTATAGGAGGTAGACTTAGGACTTCCTTGTGTCCATCCCATAGGCCTGTGGAGCAGCCCTGACTGAGTGGACGAATGTGATTGGCTGGTCATCCTTCACACAGATGTTTCAGCATACCACCCTCAGTGATCACATGCAGGTGTTGGAAGAAACATGCAACCATTTGGTGAGTGAGAGTCTCTGAGGAAGCCGGTTGCAATATGCATGCTATGGACTCACTGGCAGGCTCGGTGGGCAAAGCGGAGAGGGCTGACAGAAGATGTATTCTTTCCTTTCCTTGATTCTCATTCTTTCTCATCAGCAAACTCTGAGAACCCACATTTGGGATGCCAGTCCCTGGATCTCCAGATTTGATCCTCTTAGCATCCCAAACTCTGCCTCAGAGGCTAGGGACATCATGCAAGGTTAATAGATGCCAATGGGATAGAAGCCTTCTGGTTAGAGGAAGAGATAGAGACAGGAGTCCTCAGGGCTTGAGATCAACAGTCATGGTGGTAACGGTCTGTAGCTTCAGTGACTTCAGTGAAGTCAAGAACAGGCCATAGAGCAGGAATCCTTGTTGTAAAGTAAACATTTAAGGGCTACGCGAGTAGGTTAGGAACTAAATGAGTAATTCTAATATTATGAATTTGAATGCCTTACATAGATAGAGCACTTTACCGTGTACACTTTAACATCCATTATCCCATTGGAGCCATTGGTAGGTTAGGCAGGTTTTATTTCAACACTTCAGATGAAAAAACTGAGGCCCGTGTCAGGGCCAGTATTCAAACCTGGTCTCCTGGCTCTACATCAGTTGTTTTCTCCCTTATCATGTTGGTACCAAGGAGCAAAATTCTCTTTATGAACTTTCTGCTGAGTGTGCACTTTTGCTGGGGTGGGGGTGTCTGAGTGTATAGGTTCAAATCGTTTAAGCTGACTGAAGACAGAAAATGCTGCTGCTTGTGGACAAGGTGAGAGGGCCAAGGCTGCAAGACGGTCTTCAGTAGAGTTCCCAGCAGCCCCCCTCTCCTTGTCAGCATTACTCCTCTTTGCCTTCACAGGTGAATACATGCAAAAGACAATTAGTGGGGGAGTTACTGTTTCAGAGCTTCAGCTTCCTGAAGAGCTCCGAGTCCTTCCTACGGACAGCTGCCGTCCATTTCATAGGTAAGGTGGTCCCTCCTGTCAATTCCTCCCTTCTCTCCAGCAGGAAAGCCCTCCTTGACCTTTTACTAAAGGGCAAAGCCAGAACCATGGCATGATGAAGTTGGTTACATCCTTTCCTAGCTCTGACCTAATTTGAGATGTGCTGTCAGCCTCCAAAATTTGTGTTAGAAAAGCCTGGGGAGGAGTAAGCTATATGCCTTTGTCCTGGCTCTGTGTGCATCTACCTGCTTTGTCAGCATGCTGCTTTGTGAGGAAGAGAAATGTATGCATGTGGAAGGAAAAAACTGTTGCTTCAAATGGAACCCCATGGATTTCCCAAAATATTTTTTGTTTTAAACTATAATAACAGTATGTGTTTACATTAGAAAGCATAAAATATTCAGACTGGCTGAAAGAAGATAATGAGTAATACCAGAACTTACATCATTTGGATTTAACCACTACTAACACCATAGAATTATTTTTCTTAAAAATATGCTACACAGACGCGCGTGCACACACACACACACACACACGCACACACGCACACACACATATATATAGCACTTTAAAAAATATATGTTTTTAATTGATTTTAGAGAGAGAAGAAGGGAGAGAGAGAATCATTGATTGGCTGCCTCCTGCATTGCCCCTACTAGAGATTGAGCCCACAAGCCAGGTAGGTGTGTTGACTGGCAATTGAACCATAATCTCTTGGTTCCTGGATTGATGCTCAATCCTTGACCCACTGGAGCAGAGCTATAGAACTTCCATTTATTTCATTATTTTAAATATTTTTATTGATTTTTTACAGAGAGGAAGGGAGAGGGATAGAGATTTAGAAACAAACAAAAAAAATGAGAGCGAAACATAGATCGGCTGCCTCCTGCACACTCCCTACTGGGGATGTGCCCACAACCAAGGTACATGCCCTTGACCATAATGGAACCTGGGAGCAAAAAGTTAGGGCAAACATTTTAATAATAAACTTTCGTACATAGCTCTATCACAAATACATGCATTACGTACTCATCAACATTATATTTAATGACTACATAATATTAATTTTATTGTATAGATGGATTTATGAAACCAGTCCTTATATTTGAATATTGAGACTGTGTTATCTTTTGTTTTTATAGACAGGGACATAGTGGTTAAATCTCTGCATGTCATCATGATTATTTTGTTAAGATACATTGCTTAAAAGTAGAGTTCCTGGACTCAAAGGGTATGCAGAATTTTAAGGATTTGGAACTGCCCTCTAAAAAGTTAGATTCATTTTCTCTTGTCACCAGTATGTATATGAGTATCCATTTCGCCAAAAATTTGGCAACCCTAGGTAATATGTTTTTAAAATCATTACCAATTTGATAGGTGAAAACAAAGAAGCTTGTTGTTTTGGTTAATTTTTTTTTCAATCAACAGCTAGGTTATGTATTTTGTCCTGTTTATTGCCCATCCATATTTTATTTTTGCAAATTATTGCCTTGTGCCCCCTGTCCATCTTCTGTTGGAGTAGGAGCCCCATGACGTTTAACATCCTTGGCGCAGGCTCCACTTATCACCTGGGTCACAGCTGCTCTGAGGGCTGTTCTTTCACTAGGACACTGACATGTAGCCAGCAAGGCTTCTCTTACATACATTCCTTGCTAAAATCATTTTATAAATGTCCTTGTCACTACTGAGCCTGGGGAAAGGGATGGCCCAAAGGCTCAGGAATTCTGGATGGACTTTACATCTGTTCTGTCTTTAGCATTAATAGCTAAGAAGATAAACCTGCATTCCATACATGAGGATGATGTGCAGCTGTTACGAAATGGTGAGTCTGGGCCTCGCACCTGGGTTCTGGGTTATATAAGGGGATGGTGCAAGATAGAAATTAGGAAGAGGCAATTCCTGACATACATGTGACATTATTTTAAAAGTTTACTCTTACCAGTATAAATGTTATATCTAAAAGTTTAAGTGAAGAGAAGTAAGAGAAAGGCAACATTATTTATCATCATACCAGTTAGATAAAAACTCTGCTAACAACATGTTCTTGTCACTGCCCCTCTGTCCTGGGCTCTGGGCTGACCCTGCAGAGGAGTGTAAAGCAGACATGGTTCCTTTCCCCTGAAGAACATGCAGTTTTGTGTTCTTTTTTACTGCCTTAAAATATTTTAAAATTAATTTATACTTATAGAGCCCTTGATATATTAATATTTAAGTTATTTCAATTTTTTTGCTATTCAAACAATGCTACCATGAACATTCTTATATATGCCTCCTCATATACAAGTGTAATTCTTACTCCAGACTAGATACTAAAAACTCGACTTTTATCATGTATGTTGAACTTAACCAAGTTTAAAGTACAACATTTTAATCTTTCCTACTATGTTGACATGAATTTCAATCACCGCCTTTCCCAATTACAGGCTTTTATTAACCAATATATTAGTTCCGTTTGTAAAATCATAATTTATATGCTATGATTATTATTGTTATTTTATACAAACCATAGATTTACAAAGTGTTATATGCTCACCATTTTTGATTTGTTTTGTTTCTCTGACCATCCCTCAGGGGTCATTTTTCTCCATCCTTCTAGAAGTAACCTTTTAGAAGTTTCTTTAGTGCTGGTATCTTTTAAAAAAATCCTCACTGGAGGATATGTTTATTGCCTTCAGTGGGAGAGAAGGATTGGGAGGGAGGGAGGGAGGAAGGGAGGGAGGGAGGGAGAGAGAGAGAGAGAGAGAGAGAGAAACATTCATTGGTTGCTTCCAGTACATGCCCCGATAGGGGATGGAACCTGCAACCTTTTGGTGTAGGGAATGACACTCTAACCAACTGAGCCACCTGGCCAGGGCTAGTGCTGGTATCTTTTTTTTACACACTTTTTATTAATACTTTTATTGATTAAGTTATTGCATATTAGTGCTGGTATCTTGATAATATACTGTCTTAGATTTTGTTTTGTTTGTATGAATTTCTTCTTACCCTCATCCTTGCAAGATAGCTTTACTAGTTTTTTTTTTCGCTAAAAGTATTACAAAGGGTATTACATAAGTGTCCTTTTTTCCCCCCCGCCCTTGACAAGCCCCTGCCCTCCCTTACCCCCCAGAGTCTTATGTCCATTAGTTATGGTTATATGGATGCATACAAGACCTTCGGTTGATCTCTTACTCACCTCCCTCCTGTCCCCCAACCCTCCCTGGCCTTCCCACTGCAGTCCGACAATCAGTTTGAGGCAGCTCTGCCACTGTATTTATTATTGTTCAAAAGTTTGTAATGGTCTTAATTATCCATGAAAGAGTGAGATCATGTGGTATTTTTCCTTCAGTGACTGGCTTGTTTCACTTAGCATAATGCTCTCCAGTTCCATCCATGCTGTTGCAAATGGTAAGAGTTCCTTCTTTTTAACAGCAGCATAGTATTCCATCGTGTAGATGTACCACAGTTTTCTAATCCATTCATCTACTGATGGGCACTTAGGCTGTTTCCAGATCTTAGCTATGGTGAATTGTGCTGCTATGAACATCTGGGTGCATATATCCTTTCTGATTGGTGTTTCTGGTTTCTTGGGATATATTCCTAGAAGTGGGATCACAGGGTCAAATGGGAGTTCCATTTCCAGCTTTACTAGTTTTAAAATTCTACACCAACAATTAATTTCTCTCAGCATTTTGAAGACATTGTGCTATTATTTCCTGGCTTTCTTTGTTGCTAACTAGAAGCCTGCTATTCTAGTTTTTTTTCCATTGTAGGTAATCTCTCCTTTTCCTGTGGCTGTTGTAAGGTTTTTTAAAGTGTTATTTAAAAGTATAGAGAATCTATCTAATAAAGAGGAAATATGCTAATTGACCCTCATGCCATTGCAAAGATGGCAGTGTCCACAGCCAATAAGGAGGGAATATGCTAATTGACTGCCCCGCCCTCAAAGATGGCAGCACCAACAGCCACAAGATGGTGGTGTCCAGTCCCCTCAGCCCCGCAGGGCGGCAGGTGTGCAGCAAGGCCAAGCCCACCCCCAGTGGGCACGGCTGCTCCACTTGCCTGCTTCCGGAGACCCCCAGTCCCCTCAGCGCCCCAGCTTCCCAGGTCCAGCCCGAGACTCAAGTATCAGGGCTAGCCGAGGCTTATGCTGCCGGCAGAGGCAGCAGCAGAGGTGTGATGGGGCGTTGCCTTCCCCTGATCGCCGGGTCACCTCCCACACCTGAGGGCTCCTGGACTGTGAGAGCAGCCCCCTCAAGTGCATGAATTTTCTTGCACTGGGCCTCTAGTAATATAGTAACCAGGTACCCATACTCCAATTTCAACAAGTAGCAATTCATGGTCACCTTTTCTTTTTTAAAAGATATGTGGTTTGTTGTTGTTGTTTTTTATTTCAGAAAGAGGAAGGGAGAGGGAGAGGGAAAGGGAGAGGGAGAGGGAGAGGGAGAGGTAGATGGAAACATCAATGATGAGAATTATCAATCAGCTGCCTCCTGTACGCCCCCTACTGGGGATTGAGCTCACAACCAGGCATGTGCCCTGACCAGGAATCGAATAGTAACCCCCTGGTTCATGCGTCAATGCTGAACTACTGAGCCATGTTGGCCAGGTATCCATTATTCTTAATCTTACCAAAGTCCTAAAAAAGAAGTAGGGAATGGAAGCTGGTAGTGTGGAGAAAGAGGAGCTGCTATTCCCAATGTCTATCAGAAGAGAAAGTTTTACCTCACCTTTCAAAACCCTTTGTTCCCTTCAGTCCCTGAAGAGCCACACCTATGTTTTATATAGGATGTACTTCTGCTGACTCCCTGCCATTGCTCTCTAGTAATTACATTTGTTAAGTATTGAAAACCTACTGTATACTATGTACTATTCTAAGCATGAGATACTGCAGTGAACAAAACTAATAACCTATCCTTCATGCAGTTTACATTCTAGTCGGGAAGGGAGGAATACCCCCTCAACAAATACATAGATGTTACATAAGCACTGTGGAGGTCACTATCTCCATAAGGCAAGGGGTAAGAAGGGCCGGAGTGGGGCCCGGGGTACCCCTCCGCTATGGGATATTTAAGCAGAGAGCCGGAGGAAATGAGGGAGTGAACCCTATGACTCTTTGAGGGATAAGCACTTGGCATGTTCAAGGAAGAACAAGAAGATCAATGTGATAGCATGGAGTGAGCAAAAGGCAGGGCAGGAGGTGATGAGATCAGAGAACAGCAGTGGGGCCACGTTGATGCGGCCTTTAGCCATGGTAAAGATTTAGGGTTTTACCTGAGTGTAGGGTGCAGCATTGAACACAGTTCTTAACTCTGCTAATGGACACTGGGAAGAGTTTAGGTAGCTTTTGATCAATGGTGGGTGGTATAATTCATTCCAGGACCAAATGGAAAGGATTTTTGAATTACTCATTCTTCACTATTTTCTTTTCATTTTTTTCTAATATATTTCATTGATTTCTTACAAAGAGGAACAAAGAGGGAAAGAGAGTTAGAAACATCGATGAGAGAGAAACATCGATCAGCTGCCTCTTGCACACCCCCTCCTGGGGATGTGGCCGCAACCAAGGTACATGCACTTGACTGGAATCGAACCCTGGACTCCAGTCCTCAGGCCGGTGCTCTATCCACTGAGCCAAACCGGTTAGGGCTCTTCACTATTTTTCATACCACAATTTCCTTCCTTGATGTAGAGACAAGATGAAGAGAATGTTTGCTTTTCTAGCTCCTGTTCCTATGTCTCAGCCCTTTTGTAGTTGAGAGTGTCATGTGTTTGTCTGAAAGTCCTGGCATGAATGCCACAGGCTTGCTGTTCTGGTGTTGCAGTTGCCTATCCTCAGGGGCTGTGCCCTCTGGTTTGAGCCCAGTTAGAGTTTCCTGGTGCCTGCTGTGAGGTAATATTTGAAGGATGCTGTTTTTGATGTAGTGGTGGAATCCTGTCTCAGAGGAAATGCCTAGCAGACAACTGGAGATAGACAAGTCCTTGTTGTATTTACAGTTCTTTGTCCAGAGAGTAAAATGGTAAATGACTTCTAAGGGTACTTTCTTTCACAAAGTCTGCATTACTCAGACAACTTTCAAATACTAGATCTCTTGATAATGAGCCATGTGAACTTGGGCCAGTTACTTTGCCTCTGTGCCTCAGTTTCTCCACTGGCATCATGAGGATAATAGTGCTGATCTTGAACATTGTTTTGAAGACTGAACACAAAACATGGGGAGCACTGAGCTTTACTGGGCACATAGATGTCCCACAAAACATCTGTGTTGAACTGACTCAGGCTTCTGGGCCAGGGGAGGGGTGGTATTGGGAGGGCAGGTAGGGAGTATATTTGTAGTTAAGGTCAAGGAAAAATCAGTTTGTTTGTTGCTTCCTAGAGAGAAGCCATGCTACTGCTAGCACATTAACCATCAGCTGGTAGCATCTGCCCTCTGAGGGCTTGACCCTGGCTTCAGTTCTGACTCTGACATTTTGTATGCTGGCTGCCTTCTCTTAGGTTTTACAGTTGAGGTCTCTACTGTGTAGTTGACACCTATTCCAGCTACCATAGTTCAATTTCAGGGAAAGTATGTCCAGAATGGAAATCTTGGACTCCTAAGTCTGTCTGAGAATTCACCTTGCCTTCCTCTTCCCACCCAGCCTCCTGGAAAGATGCCCAAATACCTAGATAGGAGGAAATTTTTCCCAAGGAAAATACTTCTAATTACACTTCCACCCATATGTAGTTCTGAGCAAACCTGTGGTTGAGAAGTGGTTCTTTAAAGGATTGTATATTTTTCTATATAGTGCAAGCCCAACTCCTTTTTTTTTCCTATTCTAAATGAGATCAACATGAAGCTGTAGACTTTGATGGGTCTGGTTGGCTTTTAGATTTGTTGAGCCCACATTCTTTCTGTCCCTATTCTCCTTTGCAATACTAGTAAGTAATTTCCTGTCTCCATCCCTCTGTTCCCACTCAACTCTAAACTATGCACCCCTATTCCTTAACTGGACCACGTTGACAGCTCCTGACATCCTGTTCCTCTCTCTACACTACTCTCAATGCAGCAGCCAGGATCTCCTTGAAACATGTACACTGGATCATGGCACGCTTTTGCTTAAACCCCTTCAGTGGCTCTCCACTGCTCTTTGGGTCAAAGTTTGGTCCCTTACCCTGGGTCACAGGCCCTGAGAAGTCTGGCTTCTGACTTCTCTCCACCCTTAGCCTATATCATGTCCCCCTCACTAGAAGGGGCAACCACACTGGCTATTTTCTGCAGGATGACGTGATCCCTGCCTCCACTGGGACATTTTCTGCCCTCGATCTTCATGGGGCTGCCTTGGAGGCTGGCTCCCATTCTTTGCATCCCAGCTCAAATGTCACCTTCTCAGAGAGGCGTTCCCTGACTGGCCTATCTAAAGGGGTCCTTCCCAGTTAGCTGTTCTCATCATCCTGTTAAATTTCCTTCTTTGCACTTAATTTATGTTTACTTTTTTTTCTCCACTAGAATATTAAGTTCTATTTTTAAAAATATCTATTTTTATTGATTTCAGAGAGGAAGGGGAAGGGAGAGGGAGAGAGAGATAGAAACATCAATGATGAGAATCATTGATGGGCTGCCTCCTGCATGCCCCACACTGGGGATTGAACCTGAAACCCAGGCAGGTGCCCTGACCAGGAATCGAACCGTGACCTCCAGATTCATAAGTTGATGCTAAACTACTGAGCTGCACCGCCTGGGCTAGAATGTTCTTGACTGTGGGGAATCTGTCTTTCTTATTCACTACTATATCTCTAGGAAGTTGCATATGCCCCTTTCCCTTACACCCACTTGGTCAGAACTTAGTTATATGACCACACCTAGCTGCAAGGGAGGATGGGATATATAGTCTTTGTTTATGGCACAGTGCATGATGATAGTACTGTAAATCTCAATTAAGAGTTGTTGATCATTGTTTATAACAGTGAAAAATGGAAAGCAGCCTTATTGTTCACTAATAAGGTATTGATCAAAGAAATTATGATAGAATCATGTGATTGGATATTAAGTTATATGGGGAAATATTTTATGGGAAGAAAAATGTTAATCCTATTTTTGTAAAACAAAGTGTCTATGTTAGATATCTAAGAAATACTACAAGACAGGTATGAAAATATATATTTTTTGCGGGGTTGAGTGCTTTTGCTTTCTTTCCTTTTTAAAAAACAATTTGTATTTAAACATTTTCTACAATAAAACAATAGCACTTTTACAATGACACAAAGTTATTCTAAATGAAGTTATATTATAATGTGACAAGTGGGTGGAAAACAATGGTGTTTGGGTAAACAGTTTTTGGAGCTTGAGAATCTGAGTTGACTTCCTTTCTGGTTTCAGCTCTTGAAAGTATGAAGAATGATCCTGTGGAATCTATCCAGATTCTGGTGACTACTCTTCTTCAAAATATTGAGGAATATGTTAATCCTGAGGACAGCTCTACTTCCATTATAAGTACTCGCTTCTTCCGATTACGTGGCAGGAAAGCCCTAAAAAGAAAGAGGCACCTATTTAAGACTGTCAGACGGAAAGGAGATAATGATACTGATCGGCCCAGGAATTGGCTCCTAGGCCCTCTAAATTTACTGTGGAACTGGTGCAAGGGAGGGTAAAAAATACTCCCCTTATAATAGGCAACTTAGAAAAGTCAACACAGTCACAAGCACCTGAAAGTCTGAAAGTCCCCCTGAGGAAACTGAATTGATCCCTAAACAAGTTATTCCTGAGTCATCTAGAACTGGTGGCTAAAGCCTTTTCCAGTTGTTTATTCAGATGTCAGTGCTGGACTCTGCCATAGTCTCTCCCACCTTTTTTCCAACTGGGTGGGCGACTTTGGTTTAACCCCAAATATGTAGTTTTGATCTTAGAAGATATAGTATATTCCTTGTTCTTTATCTCCCCTAGGGTATTGTTAGCTATCAGTATATACATTTGTAAATAAACATTACTTTTTCATCCTAAACAACATGGCTTCCATCCTAGTTTGGGGGGTTAGGGGATAAACCTGAGTGACAGCAACAGCTCTGGAAGCAGTTTCTTCTACCTTCAGGTAAAGTTTCAAATGGCAAAAGGGAGGAGTAGGGTGGTAGAATCACAGGGTATCTAGTTTTCAATCTTTCCCCCACCTCTGCACAGGTTGCAGGAAATTCACATGTTTGACACATTTCCATGGGTGTATTCAGATTTCAGGTTAAAGCATAAAAGGTGGGCTGTGGTTTACATACAGTGGAGCAGCAATAACTCTAACTCTCACTCAAAAAGCACATCAAAAAGCTTTTAGGAGGGGAGTTAATGATTACTGAGTTAGTATCAATAATAGTTGCTTAGCACTTTTTATTGAATTCATTTGGCACTTGAAATGCATTCAATCAGTCAAGGGTCCACTATGTTAATATTTGCACCCTCAGAACCTACTCATGATAAATGACTGAAAAATAATGATTTAATGATCTCAAATATTTCTACAAGATGATAAGACAATCCTATTTACTAGAAGTGGTAGGGAGGCTTTTGAAATTGTTGATTGCTGTTGCATGATAGGTTGGCATTTCCTAATTCTAAACTTGAAGTTTTAATAAATTCCTACTAGGTGGACAAAGTCATGTGGGCCATGGCTCACGGTCTAAATAATGTACTTCTTCTAGGTGTGAGTAATTGAAAGAAAATCTATAATAATAAAAGTGTAATATGCCAGTTAGACCAGACGTCCTTCCCGACAACCTTCTGGACAAAGCCACAGTGGCGGGGGCTGAGGCAGAGGCAGCCACAGTGGCAGCAGGGACGAGCCCCTTGCATGGATTTTGTGAATCAGGCCTCTAGTATAACAATAAAAAACAGTGGGGACTGTAAGCCATGGTGATAAACATTCTATTCATTTTCTTATCATACTCATTACAAACCTATGAAGTACATTTTTAGGAAAATTTTCTTTTGTGGAAAATTTTACACATATGCAGAAGTCAAGAGAATAGCATAGTAAGCCTTTTGTACTCATCACCAAATTTCACCATTTATTAACTCAGGATCAATCATGTGTCACATATACTCCACCCAGTTCCCCCCGTTTCTTACTATTTTGAAGCAAATCCTAGGTCTCATATAATTTCATTCATAAACACTTCAATATATATCTGTAAAAGATAAAGTTGCTTCAAAAAAACATAACAGAGTATCATGATCACACAATCATTCTTTAACTAGAGGCCCGGTGCAAGAAATTCTTGCATGCATGCAGTCCTTAGGCCTGGCCAGAGATTAAAGCACAAGTGTCTGGCATGGAAGGACAGGTCCCAGCTGACCTCTGGGCCATGGGCCGCACCTGGGCCTCCTGGGCCCTCACCCGCCCCCCTCTGCTGAGTCACAGTGCCCGAGTCCCCACGTGGAGATCCGCTGAGTGCAGCTGGACACCACAGGCCGGGGCACAGCGTGGGCCTCTAGGCCACCAGCGGTGCCACACAGAAGCTGGGAAGGCAGCACACTCTCCCATGGCCGGCCTCACAGACCAGCTCCTGCATGAACCCACAGGGAGCCCAACTGGCCCCAGTGGTCCCGGCGCTTGTGTCCCAGCTCACCTCACGGGTGTGGAGCAGGCACCAGGCACCTGAGTGCAGGGGCTTCCCCAGTGTGTGAACCCTGGCATCTGGGTGAGGGCAGCAGGGGGAGTGAGAGCAAGTTTGGCCTACACCCCGCATTCTCACCACACCTCTGTCCCTCTCACCCTGCCTGTGAGAGGTCGAAGCCCCCAGCTCGGGTACCTTGGGAAGTTGGTTGCTGCCACCCACCCCCAATTTCCCATGTCAGCCTAGAGCCCAGACCTGATTGGGTGATCAGTGTCTGCGGGCTGCTGGTTGCTGTCTGTTGAACAATAAGTCGGGCTGGTAGTGTCCTGGGGGGAAAGGTGGGGGCAGGGGGTGGGAGGATAGAGTGGGGGGTAGAGGAAGGGGAGGGCCCCCCCTCCGCCTGGCTCCCTCAGTGTCTGTAAGCTGGGCGGCGGCCCTGCTCCTTGCCGCCTCAGCTGGTCACCCTTAGCACCAAGATTGTGGCCTCAAAACCCCACTTTCCACCTGCCTTGGCCTGGCACCACCTGCTCACCTGTTCCACCATCCCACTGTGGTCCTGCTCTCATGGAGGCTCATGAGGGTTAGCACCGCCTCCATGGCTGCCCACTGCCAGTGCTGCATCCCTGATGCCTGCCATGTTCCACGCCGCCCCCTGGTGGTCAGCGTACATCAGTGAGTGGTGGAACTCCTGGTCGAGGGGACAATTTGCATATTATGCTTTTTTTATATAGGATATCTTCAAATACCCTAGTATTCCAAATTTCCAATGGTCTTACTTATTTTGTACAATGTGTTTTTTTGAACCACGATCCAAATAAAGTCCTACTTTATGATTGTTAAATTTGTTTCCTGGCATTTTTAAAACAATTGTTTTTATTTTTAATTTAAAAAACTTTTAAAAATATGGTTTTATTGATTTTAGAGAGAGGGGGAGGGAAAAAGAGACATAGAAACATCAATGATGAGAGTCATTGATCAGCTGCCTCCTGCATGCCTCACACTGGGACCACAACCCAGGCATGTGCCCTGACTGGGAATTGAACTTCGACCACTTGGTGCATGGGTTGATGTTCATCACTGAACCATACCGCCTGGGCTTCTTGGATTTTTTTGAACTTTGGTTTCTACTTTGATCTCTTGTTTTTCTTCCCTTACAATTTATTTATTGAAGAAATGAGGTCATTTTTCCATATTTTGGATTTTGCTAATTATGTCTTCATGAAGTTGTCCAACATGTTTCTCTGTTCTCTGTACTGTAAATTAGTAGTTTGATCCAAAGGCTTGATCAGCCTGGCCAGTGTGGCTCACTGATTGAGTGTCAACCCATGAACCAGGAGGTCACAGTTTGATTCCTGGTCAGGGCACATGCCGGGGTTGTGGGCTCCTTCCTCAGTGGGGGGTGTGCAAGAGGCAGCTGATCAATGATATTCTCTCATCATTGATGTTTCTGTCCCTCTCTTTCTCACCCTTCCTCTCTCTGAAGTCAATGAAAACATATTAAAAATATTTTTAAACATAAACAAAGGCTTGATCAGTTCAGGTTAAATACGGAGGGACAACAAATATTTTGCTAAGTTCTTCTATCAGGAGGTACACAATGTCTGGTTGTCTATTTTTTTCGCTGATATTAGCTGTTGATCCATTATGGATTGAAAAATGGTGGTATTCTTATATTATTTCTTCTTCATTGATTAGCTGGTATATTTCTATAAAGAGATACTGTCCCTTATAAACTGTTTTGTTACCCAGTGGTCAGATATATATAGAAAAGTCTGTATATAGCTTGATTTATTCTTTTTATTTACAATTTTTAAAATAATTGGTTGTTTCATACCCTTCAATTGCAATCAGCTTTATTTTTTCTTAAGAATCATTATGAACTTCGAGATTTAAGCATTTTGTTTTGTTTTTTGTTAATCCTTACCCAAGGATATTTTTTCATTGTTTTTTGGGAGAGTGGAAGAGAGAGGAAAAGCCAGAGAGAAACATGCATGTGAAAGAAACACATTGATTGGTTTCCTCCTGCACCAGCCCTGATGAGGGCCTGGGCCAGGGAGGATACTGCAACAAGGTACGTACCCTAGTCTGCAACCCGAACCCAGGACCCTTTGGTCCACAGGCCTACACTCTATTCACTGAGTCAGACCAGCCAGGGTGAGATTTAAACGTATTTGATGTATTTCAATTCATTGCAATTACTTTCCTTATTGTGCAAAATGTCTCATTTTTGGCCAGGAGTCCCTTCAAATTTGCTCTTGAGACTTGTTGACATCACCCTGATAATCTTTGCTCCCTAGAGTGGCAATATGTTCCAGGCTCATCTCACATATCTTTGGCTCTAGGCCTGGAATCAATAATTTCTCCAAGTCCTGGTTTCTTTTAGTGGGAAGTGGGATTTGGAGGCCACAATCTTGATGCTAGGGGTAGATATGACCATTTTAAAACATTTAAAAAATTAACAGCTTTATTGAGGTATAATTTACATATCAAAATGTATACATTAAAAACTATAAAACATTGCTGAAAGAAATTAAAGACCTAAACCAGCGGTTCTCAACCTGTGGGTCGTGACCCCTCTGGGGGTCAAACGACCCTTTCACAGGGATCACCTAAGACCATCGGAAAACATATATAATTACATATTGTTTTTGTGATTAATCACTATTCTTTAATTATGTTCAATTTTTAACAATGAAAATACATTCTGCATATCAGATATTTACATTATGATTTATAACAGTAGCAGACTTACAGTTATGAAGTAGCAAGGAAAATAATTTTATGGTTGGGGGTCACCACAACATGAGGAACTGTATTCAAGGGTCGCGGCATTAGGAAGGCTGAGAACCACTGACCTAAACAAAGGAACGCAGCACATATTCATGGATCAGAAGACTAAAATTATTAAAATGGCAATACTCCTCAGTTGGTCTGGAGCAGTGGTCAGCAAACTGCGGCTCGCGAGCCACATGCGGCTCTTTGGCCCCTTGAGTGTGGCTCTTCACAAAATACCGACTTCTGTGCATGGGCCACAAAGTTTCAGTCGAACTGTA